ATTGTTTATTATTATATAATGATAATAAAGCTATACTAGGACTTCTTTCTATTTTAATGCTCATTATATACTCTATTTCTCTAAATACTTTCCCCCCAAAATTATTTACGTATTTACATTGCCACCACATATGTATATACGTTCCTGATTTTTGGCATCCTCTCCAGCAATTTTTTGAGTAGTTTTTATTTATATTTGCTATTCTTACTAGTGTAAGGTATCATTTCCATATTAATGTTGTGCAGAAGTCATTGATACTATGTATGTGTTTAACTGTTAGAGTATATATTTGTGTTTGTAACAGTAGCTAAAACTAGAGTTATCTGGTTTGAATCCACAGTGAGCGTTGCCAAGGAGACCAGGCAGGCTAGCTCAGGAGAGTGAGAAGTGGGCGGAGCCAAGCAGAAAAAGTTATGTGCGTCTTTGGAAAAAGGGGCAGAGCGTGTGTGAGTGTGGAGGCTTGAAAAAGAGCCTGGGAGAGAGGTGTGTGTGAGCAGCTGGAGGTTTTTCAGTCTAGAAGGGCTAAAGAGAAAAACCTGGCCAGTTTCTTTAGTCAAGGAAGACTAAAGGAAGCCTGTTAAGATCCCTAGTCAAGGAAGGACTAGAGATCAGAGATTTGAGCAAGGAAAGATCAAATTGGAAGGCTATTCATAGTAGGAAACATTGTTCACTAAAGAGCTTCAGCTCAGTAAAAGTTAGCCACGAGCAGTGTTATTTGGAAGGGTGGACTGTATTACAAACCAAGTGATATTCAAAGTTCTATAAGTTATTTAACAGCCTGCAACCATACGCTTTGTACACAATAAACTTGTTATCTTTTGTTGAAGACCGTCTCATCTCAATTAATCTGCGTCTGTAAAGCCAGATCTCATCGGTGGTACCTCAAATACCTCACGTTGGTGGCAGTTACCTTAATTTACAAGTAATAATTGGCCTCCTCTATAATATATTCTTATACACAATTGAGGCCTGAGATTAATTCCCTTCATAATCATCCGCACCTGTACAATTGGTTCGCGCATAACTGTACAAATGTATAGTAATTTTCTTTAACCCGTATTGATAAATTCTTTAGATGTCTTTGTCTCCATAAATTTAAGATGTTCCAATGTTCTTGGCATCCTCTCCAGCAATTTTTTGAGTAGTTTTTATTTATATGTGCTATTCTTACTAGTGTAAGGTACCATTTCCATATTAACGTATAGTAATTTTCTTTAACCTGTATTGATAAATTCTTTAGATGTCTTTGTTTCCATAAACTGAAGATGTTCCAATGCGGTTACAATCTTGTTCACTTTTTCCCTCCTCCTCCTCACATGGAACTACATTCATGTCCCAGATGATGCAAGAACTGTTCCGGACCTGTAGAATAAAACATCTAATTTCTACACCATATCATCCCCAAACCAACGGCTTGACGGAAAGATTCAACGGTACCCTCAATCACATGCTAAAGATTTATGTCCATAAAAACCCTAATGATTGGGACAAGAAGCTGCAGCACTTTTTGTTTGCCTATCGAGAAGTTCCACAAGCCAGCACAAAGTTCAGCCCATTCGAACTGCTGTACAGAAGAACACCACGAGGTCCCACGGACATCTTAAAAGAAGCATGGATAGGAGCAGAACAAATTCCAGAGACTGACATCAGCCATTATATTGAGGACTTGCAAAGACATTTGTCAACCATGAGAGACTGCACAGCTGAGGGTTTGGCGACTGCCCGGCTGAAACAAAAGGAGCGGGCGTATATAGATGATCTGTCCATGTATAGCCAGACGTGGGAACAACACCTGGAGCACTTAGGGAAGGTGTTGCACAAGATTAAAGAGGCTGGCTTAACAGTAAAAGGCTCAAAATGCCAAATGGCCAGATCACGAGTCAAATATCTAGGTCATATAGTAGGAGGAGGCACCATATTGCCGGATATGGACAAGGTACAGGCAATAAGAGAATGGCCGAATCCAAGTACCAAGAAACAAATTCGTTCATTTTTAGGATTTGTAGGATTCTATAGCCGATTTATTCCCAATTTTAGTTCTCTTGCGGCAGTGTTAACTGATTGTACAAAGAAGGCTTCACCAGATAAAGTAATATGGACACCTGAGTGTCAGACTGCCTATGACTTGTTAAAGAGTGCTTTGATGACCGAACCTGTTTTGAAAGCCCCTGACTTTGATCGACCTTTTATTTTAACCACAGATGCTTCTAAGGTAGGCCTTGGAGGAGTTTTGGGTCAGGAGAGTGATGAAGGTGTGTTACAGCCCATGCTGTATATGAGTAAGAAGCTATTAGAGCGAGAACAACACCTGTCTGTAATTGAGCGTGAGTGTTTGGCTATAGTGTGGGCCATCACTAAACTAAAACCTTACCTATGGGGAAGAAAGTTTACGCTTTGCACAGATCATTCACCTCTACGGTGGTTACATCAGGTCAAGAGCACCAATAGTAAGTTAATTAGATGGAGCTTAGCACTTCAAGATTATGATTTTGAAGTCAAGCATATAAAAGGCACCCAAAATGTCATAGCAGATACATTGTCTAGAGCAGGGGTCCTCAAACTAAGGCCCGGATACGGCCCTCCAAGGTCATTTACCCGGCCCTCGCTCAGAGTCAACCTAAGTCTGAAACGGCTTGAAAGCACACAACAACAACAATCCTATCACATTAGCCAAAAGCAAGCCCACACTTTCCACTGAAATACTAATAAGTTTATATTTGTTAAAACTGTTCTTCATTTTAATTATTGTATTGTTTTTGCACTACAAATAAGATATGTGCAGTGTGCATAGGAATTCATTCATGTTCTTTTCAAATTATAATCCGGCCCTCCAACAGTTTGAGGGACTGTGACCTGGCCCCCTGTTTAAAAAGTTTGAGGACCCCTGGTCTAGAGCAATTAGTTAAAATAGAATCCCGGATTAGAGAAGTATTGTGGTTATAGTGATAAATTGTTTATATTGAAGGGAACCCCTTTTGTTAGGCACCCCAAGGCTGGTGACAGAAAGCAAGCAGTCTCCATAGGTGAAGCAA